GGACACATGGTCATTATTATTGACTTCCCATGAGCTAAAATGTTATTTTGACCACAATCAATTTACTCTTATAAAATAATTTTTTTCCAGGTTTACATGGCGATGCTTGTAAGATTTTAAATTTTTAAAGAGTTATTGTAGTAGATTTTGACTCGCGAGTCAAAGATGTGCCCGTACCACCGATTCACAACTTTTTGTCACCTTAAGACGAAGTTGGATAAGTGCAAGTCTGAGTGCAGTGTCATAGCAATGACAATTTTCTGTTATCACGTTTGTGTTACATACTGTTTCTTTTATTTGTCAAAACCAAAGGCAAAAAATTGTGTTATAGTCTTGAAATTTATGATCCAAAGGTTATTTGAAAAATCTTGTCAAAATCTAAAACACGCCAGCTCGTGAGTTCGCGAGGAGTCACTAGAGCTTTACACTTACTTTTACCCTCAATTCCCATTGGTCAACAACAAAACTGTATCGCCGCTCATGTTCGCAAACATTACTTTTCGGGTGGAGAGAAGAAAGGACCAGCGCCTGCGTTTGCAGGGTAATCTTTCTCCTAATCTATTTTTGGAATATTATCTTCGTGACATTTTGTCTGTCATTAGTAAACAACAGCTAAACAAAAAAATTACTACATTAACCAAACAGCACTCTATGACCAGATTCTGACAAATCTGTTATCAGTATGGATTCTTGGGGACATGAGAAGCCAGGAGAGACAGCTGTATTCGTAGGCTAATGGAAGAGGCACTAGAAGAGAGATCTAGATCAATGATGGATATTTACATGTACCCCATGTGGATTATAACACAAAAAGGAATACAAAGGCAGATGAAGGAAAAAACAGGTAAATGAATGAAAATTATTTTAACCAATGATAGTTAACGAACACTAAAGGTAAAGAAGGTGACCAAACATTCGGTACCACTCAAAAGTAAGTTACTAGTGTGCCAATTAATCAAATGTCATTGGAGGCCTTTTATTTGCAAGTTTCCCCTTAAATAAACAGATACCTTGTGAGGTTCAAGTGATAACTTGCATTGCAATCACTATAATATGTGATATCTGTTCCCCTACTCAAAAACCATATCCCTAGTGATAGGCAGGGCTGAAAATAACGGCCGGTCAACGCACAATGTCCGACCTCATTGTGAACTTGACCGGTCAAACTCTCGTCTTGCCGGTCATTTTGACTGGTCATTTTTGGAAACGAAAATACACCGTATTCACAAATGGCGGACACGCGGGAAAAAACTGGTGCCTAGTCATGAAAGCGAGGCGTTGGAGGGTAAACAAAAATTGCAAATGAAGACTTTCAGTGAACTTGCAGAGTGTTTAGCACGGATTCCACCGAAAATAACTTTCTACGGACTTCTTTTAAAACACAATTACGTGGGATGTCTTCTGCTTTTAATGTTTAGTATTGATTTGCTGTTTGCAATCAAAAGGGGCGCGTATATCTTCAAGGAAACAAGATGATTTTGTAGGTTTCCGAAGCATCAGAAGCTCGACAAGTGGGCGATGGCTGGAGAAAAGCGGCAAACATGTTCGCCCAAACTTCACATTGAAACCGAGTTCGAAAGCCAGCTCACTGCAATTCGGTAAAACAGAAATATAAACAATGCAAATCTTGGGGGCAAGAAAAAAAGAAATAAGCGATGGATATATGGCCTACTTGTTAACGCAAGAGACGTGTGCCATTGAACAAAACAGTTCAAATCGAGATGGAAAAAAGGAAGACAGGAAAGAAGCGGTGACTGAGGTTTCGATGAAGTTATGTTTGGTGTTTATTTGCCAGGACGCTATTCTCTGGTCTTTATCGATGAAGGACATCAATTAGAACTATCTTTTTGGTATAAATGCAGGAGCGATCGAGTGGAGTACGCTCAAAATTTCGACTTGTCACTCGGCAGACTCGGTAAGCCGGCCACATTTCATTTCAGCGAGTAATTTTCCTATTTCTTATCTTTGGCTGTTAAGAGTTTTAACTTCATGTTCCATAATGTTTTAAAAGTGAAGAATACATAAATAAGTAAAATGATGGTCTTCTTAAACGGATCCAGACTCGCATTTAATGATTCGAAACAGAAGCTTGCCGTGTTCAGTCCTGACACAAACATTCCCTTAAAAGTTTAACCTAGTAAAATGTGAGCTTTATACCACTTTTTTACAAAGAGCTCTCTGAGATAATGCCGTAAAGGAGACCAGGCAAATAGGAAGCCATAAGATTCACACACTAGAGCTTCTAGTTTTGATAAAATTATTTTATTTCGCAATGCAAAGAAATCAAAAGATTTTAGATTTGCACTGAATTTGCTAAGCTCTGCCAACGTACCTCTAACAATTCACTCCAAAGCGACGGAATTGATATCATCCAAAGGAAGTTGTAAATACAGACATACATAGATATGTGTAAAATGACACTGACATGAATGAATGAGTCTCGTGAATGAATCTTTCACCCGCTCTCGACTTGACCAGTTTTGAGTAATGGCGGAGGTCTCTTCCGTTGACAAGTAGGCCATCTATCCGTCGCTTTTTTCTTTTTTTCTTGCCACCAATATCCGTTTTTACTTCTGTTTTACCGAATTGCAGTGAGCTGGCTTTCGTATTCGGTTTCAGCGTGAAGTTTGGGCTAACATGTTTGCCGCTTTTCTCCAGCCATCACCCACTTGTCGAGCTTCTGAGGCTTCGGCAACCTACAAAATCATCCTGTTTCCTTGAAGATATACGCGTCCCTTTTGATTGCAAACAGCAAATCAGTACTAAACATTAAAAGCAGAAGACGTCCCATGTAATTGTATTTAAAAAGACGTCCATACAAAGTTATTTTAGCTGGAATCCGTGCTAAACACTCTGCAAGTTCACTGAAAGTCTTCATTTGCAATTTTTGTTTACCCTCCAACGCCTCGCTTTCATGACTAGGCACCAGTTTTTTCCCGCGTGTCCGCCATTTGTGAATACGGTGTATATAATTATATTTTCCATACAGTTGTCCGTTAATGAGTTGTGCAAGGTGTTATGATTTTTTTTCTTTGCATTTTTGTCTGCTTTGCACTAAAACCTTTTAAGAACATGAACACCGCGATAAATTTCATGTCATCATGTCGTCATCAAATGTAAAAAACCGAAACAACAACAAACTGAGTCAAGGAGTAATGCAACGACGCAGGTCATTCTGCTTTGCTGTAACTAGTAGTGTGTCTCCTTTGGAAAAACGACCACTAACGATAATCCGTTGTCCGTTAGAAAACTAAAGGATAACTAATAGTTTGGGTCCATCTAACGTTTCACATCTACTTGAGGTGATTGTGAAAATCACCTTGGATGGAATTCGCGCAAATCGATCACAATTATTGTCAACAGGTCATCCTGTGTTTCTCCGCAACTAAATTTTAGCGGATTGATTAATTATTAAAACCTCTTTATGACGAACATGAATCTCGTTTGCGGACTCAATTCCAGAATAGTCTGATAAAAATTTAACCTGATCGAGAACGAACGTTGTCCATCTCGGCCCTGTTGATATTAATGATTCCTTCGTGAAAAAGTGTTGCGCGACGACCCAAATGAAAGCTCTGTTGTCTATTTATCGACTTCGGATGATAAACATGCTGTTTGTGGAACAGATTTGTCGCCCAATTAACTTCTTTTCGAAAATATTTCCCGACGTTTCTTCTTCGTAAAGGAGACTTTCGATCATGTGCCAGGCAGCGAACACCGATATGCAGATATGGGATGAACCTTGGAGACTTCAGACACCACCGCATGATGATATTCAAGGTAGAACGGACATGAAAATGGGCGAACACCGCGGAAAGGAACTAAACAACATCTGCATGAATGTTTCGACTTGCCCCCAAAAAACTGAACGTCAATGAAGTACAATGATCTATTACCAGCGTAATTCGCTATTGCAAAGGCAAAAAAAAAAGTATTAGTATTCATTATTTCACCGGCCAAAATCAAGGTTTGTCAAGGCTAAAAAATATTCGACTGGTTATCATGCCAGGCAACCAGCTGTCCGTTATTTTCAGCCCTACTAGGGATGAGTGGGATGACTAGGGATGACTAGGGATGACTAAAGAGGACAAGGGATAACTGGGATGACTAGGGATGACTAGGATGACTGGCATGACTAGGGATGACTAAGATGACTGGGGATGACTTTAAGGATCACTAGGGATGACTAGGGATGACTAAGGGTGACTGGGATGACTAGGAATAACTGGGGTCACTAGTGATGACCAGGATGACTAGGGATGACTGGAATGACTAGGGATGACTAGAGATGACTAGGACGACTAAGGAAAACTAGGGATCACTAGGGTTACTAGGATGACTGGGATGACAAGGGATGACAAGGAATGACTAGGATAACTGTAATGACTAGGGATGACTAAGGATGACTATCGATGACTAGGATGACAAAGGATGACCAGGAAGACAAGGGATGACTGGGAAGACTACAGATGACTAGGGATGACTGGGACGACTAGGGATGACTAGGGATGACTGGGATTACTGGGATTACTAGGAATGACTACGGATGACTGAGATGACTAGGGATGACTGGGATGACTAGGGATGACTGGGATGACTAGCGATGGCTAGGATGACTGGGATGACACAGGATAACTAGCGATGACTCGGGATGACGGGGAGGACTAGAAATGACTCAGATGACTAGGGATGACTGGCATGACTAGGGATGAGTGAGATGAATAGGGATGACTAGGGATGACTGGGATGACTAGGGATTTCTAGGGATGACTAGGGATGTTCAAAGATGACTAGGGATGACTAGGCTGACTAGGATGACAAGGGATGACTAGGGGTGACTGGGATGACTAGGGACGACTAGGATGACTCGGGATGACTAGAGATGACTAGGGATGATTGGGATGACTAAGGATAACTGGGATGACTAGCGATGACTAGGATGATTGGGATGACTCGGGGTAACTAGGGATGACTACAATGACTAGGGATGACTGGTATGACTAGAAATGACTGAAATGACAGGGATGAATAGAAATGACTGAGATGACTGGGATGAATGAGAAGACTACGGATGACTTGGGATGACTAGGGTGACTAGGATAACTAGGGATGACTAGGGATGACTAGATTGACTGGGATGACGAGGGATGACTGGGATTACTGGAATGACTAGGAATGACTAGGGATGACTGGGATGACTAAGGATGACTAGGGACGAGTAGGGATGACTGGGATGACTAGGGGTTTAAAGGGATGACTCGGGATGTTTAAGGATGACTAGGAATGACTAGGATGACTAGGCATGACTAGGGGTGACTAGGATGATTAGGGATGGGTAGAGATGACTGGGATGACCAGTGATGACTAGGGATGACTAGAGATCACTAGGATGACAGTGAGTACTAGGGATAATTAAGCAAAAGTAGGGATGACTGGGATGACAAGGGATAACCAGAATGACTAGGGATGACTGGGATGACTAGGGATGACTGGTGAAAACTAGGGATAACTGGGATGACTAGGGATGACTAGGATGACTGGGATGACTGGGATGACTAGGGATGACTGGGATGACTAGAAATGAGTACCGATGACTGGGATGACTAGGGATGACTGGGATGACTACGGAGGACTAGGGAGGACTAGGCATAACTGGGATGACTAGCAATGACTCGGATGACTGCGATGACTAGTGATGACTTAGATGACCAGGGATGACTGAGAAGACTAAGGATGACTAGGGATGACTAGGATGACTGGGATGACTAGTGATGACTAGGATGACTAGGGATGACTAGGGATGGCTGGAATGACTACGAATGACTAGAGATGACTAGGGATGATTGGAATGACTAAGGATAACTGGGATGACTAGCGATGACTAGGGTGACTGGGATGACTAGGGATGAATGGGATTAATGGGATGACTAGGAATGACTACGGATGACTAAGATGACAAGGGATGATTGGGATGACTAAGGAAAACTGGGATGACTAGGGATGACTGGGATGATTGGGATGACTCAGGGTAACTAGGAATGACTACGATGACTAAGGATGACTAGGGATGACTGGTATGACTGGGATGACTAGAAATGACTGAGATGACTGGGATGACTAGGGACGACTGAGAAGACTAGGGTTGACTAGGGATGACTAGGATGACTGGAATGACTAGAGATGACTAGAATGACTGGAATGAAAAGGGATGACCGCGATTACTGGGATGACTGGGAAGACTAGGGATGACTGGGATGACTAACGACCACAAGGGACTTGTAAGGATGACTAGGGATGTTGAAGGATGACTAGGGATGACTAGGGGTGACTGGGATGACTAGGGACGAGTAGGGATGACTGGGATGACTAGTGATGACTGGGATAACTCCCATGACTAGGGATGACTACAATGACTAGGGATGACTTAAGATGACTAGGATGACTGGGATCACTAGGGATCACTAAGGATCACTAGGATGACAGTGAGGACTAGGGATCACTAGGGATAACTAGGGATGACTAGGATGACAAGGGATGATCAGGATAACTGGGATGACTAAGGATGACTTGGAAGGACTGGGAATATCTGGGATGACTGGGATGATTAGAGATGACTGGGATTACTGGGATTACTAGGAATGAGTACGATTGACTGGGATGACTAGGGATAACTGGGATGACTACGGATGGCCAGGGAGGACTAGGGATAAGTGGGATGACTAGCGACGGCTAGGATGACTGGAATGACACTGGATAACTAGCGATGACTAGGATGACTAGGAATGACTGGGATGACTAGAAATGACTGAGATGACTAGGGATGACTAGGGATGAGTGACATGACTAGGGATGACTAGGGATAACTAGGAATGACTGGGATGACTAGGGATGACTGGGATGACTAGGGATGACTGGGATGACTAGGGATTTCTAAGGATGACTAGGGAAGTTCAAAGATGACTAGGGATGACTAGGGATGACTAGGATGACTAGGATGACAAGGGGTGACTAGGGGTGACTGGGATGACTAGGGACGACTAGGGATGACTGGGATGACTCGTGATGACTAGAGGTGACTAGGGATGACAAGGATGAGTAGGATGACTGGGATGAGTGAGAATGACTAGAGATCACTAGGATGACAGTGACTAGGGATGACTAGGATGACAACGCATGACCAGGATGACTAGGGATGACTGGGATTACGGGGAATACTAGGAATGACTACAGATGACTGGGATGACTAGGGATGGCCAGAGAGGACCAGGGATAAGTGGGATGACTAGCAATGGCAAGGATGACTGGGATGACACTGGATAACTAGCGATGACTAAGATGACTAGGGATGACTGGGTTGACTAGAAATGACTGAGATGACTAGGGATGACTAAAGGTGACTGGGATGACTAGGGAAGACTAAGGACGACTAGGGATCACTAGGATGAATCCGGATGACTAGAGATGACTAGAATGACTGGCATGACTAGGGATGACTAGGAAGGACTAGGGATAACTGGGATGACTAGGGATAACTAGAGATGACTAGGATCACCAGGGATGACCAGGATGACTAGGGATGACTGGGATGACTAGGGATGGCTAGGAAGGACTAGGAATAACTGGGATGACTAGGGATGACCAGGATGACTGGGATGACTAGGGATGACTGGGATGACTAGCGTTCTATAGGTATGACTAGGGATTACGGGGACGACTGGGATCACTAGGGATGATTGGGATGACAAGGAATGTCTGGGATAGCTTGGGATGACTAGGGGTTGACTAGGGATTACCGGGGTGAGTAGAGATGACTGGGACGACTAGGGATGACTAGGGATGCATAGGGATGCCTAGGGATGACCGGGATGACTGGGATAACTAGGGATCACTAGGATGACTGGGGATGATGTGAGATGACTAGGGATGACTGGGATGAGTAGAAATGACAAGGGATTACTGGGATGACTAAGGAAGAGTACGGATGACTAGGACGTCTAGGGTTGACTAAGGTGACTAGGGATGACTAGGGATGACTGGAATAACTAAGCATGACTGGGATGACTAGGGATGACTGGGATGACTAGGGATGATTAGGGATGACCTGGATGACTAGGGATGACTAGGGATGACTGGGATGGCTAGGGATGACTAGCATGACGGTGATGACTACGGATTACCAGTGATGACTAGGGATGACCAGGATGACAAGGGATGACTGGGATGACTAGCGATGGTTAGGGATGACTGGGGAGGACTAGATATAACTGGGATGACAAGGGATGACTAGGATGACTAGGATGATTGGGATGACTATTGATGAATAGGGATGACTGGGGATGACTGGGGTTACTGGGATGACTAGGAGTGACTTTGGATGACTGGGATGACAAGGGATGACTAGGGATGACTAGGAAGAGTAGGATGACTAGGGTTGATTAGGGATGTTTAAGGATGACTAGGGATGACTAGGGACGACTAAGATGACTAGGGATGACAAGGAAGACTAGGGGTGACTGGGATGACTACGGATGACTAGGATTACTAGGGGTGAGTAGGATGACTTGGGATGACTAGGATGACATTGATGACTAGTGATGAGTAGGGATGACTGGGGATGACTATGGTTACTGGATTGACTAGGGGTGACTAGGGATGACTGGGATGACTTGGGAAGACTATGGATGACTGGGATGACAAGGGATGACTAGGAAGAGTGGGATGACTAGGGATGACTACGATTGATTACGGATGTTTAAGGATGACTAAGGATGACTAAGATGACTAGGGATGACTAAGATGACTAGGGATGACTACGAAGACTACGGGTGACTGGGATGACTAGGGATGACTAGGATGACTAGGGTGAGTAGTATGACTAGGGATGACTAGGATGACTAGGATGACTGGGATGCCTAGTGATGACTGGGATGACTAGGGATGACTGGAATGACAAAGGATGAGTAGGGATGGCTAAAATGACTAAGGATGACTAGGGATGACTAGGAATGACTAGGATGACTAGGGATGACTGGGGAGGACTAAGGATATCTGGGATGACTTGGGATGACTAGGATGACTAGGGATAACTGGGATTACTGGGATGACAAGGAATGACTATTGTTGACTGGGATGACTAGGGATGACTGGGATGACTACGGATGACAAGGGAGGACTAGAGATAACTGGGATGACTAGCGATGGCTAGGATGACTGGGATGACACGGGATAGCTAGCGATGAGTAGGATGACTAGGGATGTCTGGGATGACTGGGATGACTGGGATGACTAGAAATGACTGACATGATTAGGGATGACTGGGATGACTAGGGATGACTGAGATGATTAGGGATGACTGGGATGACTAGGGATAACTGGGATGACTAAGGATGACTAGGAATGTTTGAGGATGACTAGGAATGACTAGGGATGACTAGGATGACAAAGGATGACTAGGGATGACTAGGATGACTGGGATGACTAAGGATGACTAGGGTTGACTAAAGATGACTAGGGATGACTAGAGATGACTAGGGATAACTAAGATGACAAATGATGACCAAGATTACTAGGAATAACTAGGGATGACTAGGATGACAAGGGATGACCAGGATGACTAAGGATATCTGGGATGACTTGGGATGACTAGGATTACTGGGATGACTGGGATGACTTGGGATGACTGGGATTACCGGGATGACCAGGAATGACTATGGATGACTGGGATGACTAGGGATGACAAGGGAGGACTAGGGATAACTGGGATGACTAGTGATGGCTAGAATAACTGAGATGACATGAGATGACTAGTGATGGGTAAGATGACTAGGGATTACTGGGATGACTAGGGATGACTGGGATGACTAGGGATGACTAGGGATGTTTAAGGATCACTAGGAATGACTAGGGATGACTAGGGATGACTAGAGATGACTACGGATAACTAGGGTGACAAATGATCACCACGATGACTAGGGATGTCTGGGATGACTAGGATGACTGGGATGACTAGGGATGACAAGGGATGACTGGAATGAAGAGGGATGACTAGAGACGAATAACATGATTGAGGATGACTAGGGATGACTAGGATGACTGGGATGACTAGGGATGACTTGGATTACTGAGATGATTACTAATTACTAGGGATGAATGGGATGACTAGGCATGACTGCTATGACTAGGGATGACTAGGGATGACTAGGATGACATCGATGACTAGGGATGACTGGGATTACTGGGATCACTAGGAATGACTGCGGATGACTGGGATGACGAGGGATGACTCAATGGCTAGGGATGACTAGGGAGGACTAGGGATAACTGTGATGTCTAGCGATGACTAAGATGACGGGGATGACTCAGGATAACTAGGGAAGACTAGGATGACTAAGGATGACTGGGATAACTAGGATGACTAGAAATGACTGAGAAGACTGGGATGGCTAGGGATGACGGAGAAGACCAGGGATGACTAGGGATGACTAGAATGACTGGGATGATTACGGATGACTGGGATTACTGGGATGCCTAGGAATGAGTAAGGATGACTGGAATGACTAAGGATGACTAAGGATGACTAGGGACGACTAGAGATGACTGGGATGGCTAGGGATTTGAAGGGATGACTCGGGATGTTTAAGGATGTCTGCGAATGACTAGGATGACTAGGCATGACTAGGGGTGACTGGGATGATTAGGGATGAGTAGAGATGACTGGGATGACTAGTGATGACTAAGATGACTGGGATGACAAGGGATGACTAGAGATCACTAGGATGACAGTGACTACTAGGGATGACTAAGGAAAAGTAGGGATGACTAGGATGACAAGGGATAACCAGGATGACTAGGGATGACTGGGATGACTACGGTGACTGGGGAAAACTAGGGATAACTGGGATTACTAGGGATGACTAGGATGCCTGGGGTGACTAGGGATTACTGCGATGACTAGGAATGACTATCGATGACTGGCATGACTGGGATGACTAGGCAGGACCAGGGAGGAATAGGGAGGACTAGGGATACCTGGGATGACTGGTGATGACTCGCATGACTGCGATGACTAGAAATGACTGAGATGACTAGGGATGACTGAGAAGACTAAGGATGACTAGGGATGACTAGGGATGACTAGGAGTGACTAGGGATGAATGGGATGACTGGGATGACTAGGGATGACTAGGGATGGCTGGAATGACTAAGAATGACTAGAGACGACTAGGATGACTAAGAATGATTGGGGGTGACTAGGATGACTAGGGATGACTATGGACGACTACGATGACTAGGGATGACTAGGGTGACTGGGATGACTGGGATTAATGGGATGACTAGGAATGACTACGGATAAATAAGATGACTAGGGATGACTAGGGATGATTGGGATGACTAGGGATAACTGGGATGACTAGCGATGACTAGGATGATTCGGATGACTCGAGGTAACTAGGGATGACTAGGATGACTAGGGATAACTGGTATGAATGGGATGACTAGAAATGACTGAGATGACTGGGATGACTAGGGATGACTGAGAAGACTAGGGATGACTAGGAGTGACTAGGATGACTAGGGATGACTAGGGATGACTAGATTGACTGGGATGACTACGGATGACTGGGATTACCGGGTTGACTAGGAATGACTAGGGATGACTGGAATGACTAAGGATGACTAAGGATGACTAGGGACGACTGGGATGGCTAGGGATTTGAAGAGATGACTCGGGATGTTTAAGGGTGCCTAGGAATGACTAGGATGACTAGGCATGACTAGGGGTGACTGGAATGATTAGGGATGAGTAGAGATGACTGGGATGACTAGTGATGACTAGGGATGACAAAGATGACTGGGATGACAGGGATGACTAGAGATCACTAGGATGACAGTGAATACTAGGGATGATTAAGGAAAAGTAGGGATGACAAGGAATAACCAGGATGACTAGGAATGACTGGGGTGACTAGGGATGACTGGGATGACTAGGGATGGCTGGAATGATTAAGAATGACTAGAGATGACTAGGATGACTAAGGATGACTAGGGATGACTAGGATGACTAGGGATTACTAGGGTGACTGAGATGACTAGAGATGACTGGGATTAAAGGCATGACTAGGAATGACTACGGATAACTAAGATGACTAGGGATGACTAGGGATGATTGGGATGACTACGGATAACTGGATGACTAGCGATGAGAAGGATGACTGGGATGACTCGTGGTAACTAGGGATGACTAGGATGACTAAAAATGACTGACATGACTGGGATGACTAGGGATAACTGAAAAGACTAGGGATGACTAGGGGTGACTAGGGGTGACTAGAATGACTAGGGATGACAAGATTGATTGGGATGACAACGGATGAGTGGGATTACTGGGATGACTAGGAATGACTAGGGATGACTAGGGATAACTAGGGATGACTGGGGAAAACTAGGGATAACTGGGATGACTAGGGATGACAAAAAAGACTGGGAAGACTAGGGATGACTGGGATGACTAGGAATGACTACCCATGACTGGGATGACTAGGGATGACTGAGATGACTAGAAAGGACTAGGGATAACTGGGATGACTAGCGATGACTCGGATGACTGCGATGAGTAGAAATGACTTAGATCACTAGGGATGACTGAGAAGACTAAGGATGACTAGGGATGACTAGGGGTGACTAGGAGTGACTAGGATGACTAGGAGTGACTATGGATGACTGGGATGACGAGAGATGACTGGGATGACTAGGGACGACTGGAATGACTAAGAATGACTAGAGATGAGTAGGATGACTAAGGATGACTTGGGATGACTAGGATGACTAGGGAGACTGGGATGACTAGGGATGACTGGGATGACTAAGGATAACTGGGATGACTATCGATGACTAGGATGATTGGGATGACTCGGGGTAACTACGATGACTAGGGATGACTGGTATGACTGGGATGACTAGAAATGACTGAGATGACTGGGATGACTAGGGACGACTGAGAAGACTAGCGTTGACTAGGGATGACTAGAGATGACTAAGGGTGACTAGGATGACTAGGGATGACTAGGGATGACTGGGATGACTAGGGATGACTAGGACGACTGCGAGGACTAGGGATTACAATCGATGACTAGGATGATGACTGGGATTACTACAATCGATGACTAGGATGATGACTGGGATTACTACAAATGATTTGGGAGGCCTAGAGATGACTCGGATGACTGGGTTGATTCGAGATGACTAGGGATGACTAGGATGACGAGGAATGACTGGGATGACAGGGGATGATTGGGATGACTAGGGATGACTACGATGACTGGAATGACTAGGGATGACAAGGGATGAGTGGGATTACTGGGATTACTGGGATGACAAGGAATGACTAGGGATGACTGGGATGACTAGGGATGACTGGGATGACTAAGGACGACTAGGGATGACTGGGATGACTAGCGATTTCTAGGGATGACTAGGGATGTTTAAGGATGACTAGGGATGACTACGGGTGACTGGGATGACTAGGCACAACTAGGAATGACTGGGATGACTAGTGATGACTAAGATAACTCGGATGACTAGGGATAACTAGGGATGACTAGAATGACTAGGGATGACTTGAGATCACTAGGATGACTAGGGATAACTAGGATGACAGTGAGGACTAGGGATCACTAGGGATAACTAGGGATGAGTAGGATGACAAGGGATGACGAGAATGACTGGGATGACTAGGGATGACTTGGGAGGACTAGGAATATCTGGGATGACTAGGGATGACTAGGATGACTTGGATGATTAGGGATACATACATACATAAAACTTTATTTAAACTCGAATTTTAGAGTAGCTAACATAAGCTAATATCTTCGAGCTGACACTACATAAAAACTATATAGAAAATATATATATACATTAAATGCATGGAAAGAAAATATCATTTACAATTCACAATTTTAAGTTTAAGTATGTCAGGCAAAAAGAATCTACATGAAGGTAACATCCTGTATTTTAGTCTTAAAGTCTGCAAAAAAAACTGGTACGAAAAAAGTCCGGCAGTGCATTCCACTGCTTAGCTGAAAAGTAAGAAAAGGAGTTAAGACCATAGGTAGTTGTTTTAGGTTTACTTAGTGAAAGAATGTAGTTGCCACGAAGATCATAGGAAGAGGACCGGAGTGAAAACATATTCTTCATATAAGTAGGAAAATGAGTGAAAAACAAACTCTTATATAACAGAATGAGGAAATTTTGAATGCGTTTGTTAAACTGGGATTACTGGGATTACTAGGAATGACTACGGATAACTGGGATGACTAGGGATGACTGGGATGACTAGGGATGGCTAGGGTCGACTAGGGATAAGTGGGATGACTAGTGATGGCTAGGATGACTGGGATGACACTGGATAACTAGCGATGACTAGGATGACTCGAAATGACTGGGAGGACTAGAAATGACTGAGATGACTAGGAATGACTGGCATGACTAGGGATGAGTGAGATGAATAGGGATGACTAGGGATGACTGGGATGACTAGGGATTTCTAGGGATGACTAGGGATGCTCAAAGATGACTAGGGATGACTAGGATGACTAGGATGACAAGGGATGACTAGGGGTGACTGGGATGACTAGGGACGACTAGGGATGACTAGGATGAGTCAGGATGACTAGAGATGACTAGGGATGATTGGGATGACTAAGGATAACTGGGATGACTAGCGATGACTAGGATGATTGGGATGACTCGGGGTAACTAGGGATGACTACGATGACTAGGGATGACTGGTATGACTAGAAATGACTGAGATGACTGGGATGAATAGAAATGACTGAGATGACTAAGATGACTGAGAAGACTACGGATGACTTGGGATGACTAGGGTGACTAGGATAACTAGGGATAACTAGGGATGACTAGATTGACTGGGATGACGAGGGATGACTGGGATTACTGGAATGACTAGGAATGACTAAGGATGACTGGGATGACTAAGGATGACTAAGGTTGACTAAGGATGACTAGGGACGAGTAGGGATGACTGGGATGACTAGGGATTTGAAGGGATGACTCGGGATGTTTAAGGATGACTAGGAATGTCTAGGATGACTAGGCATGACTAGGGGTGACTGGGATGATTAGGGATGGGTAAAGATGACTGGGATGACCAGTGAGTACTAGGGATAATTAAGGAAAAGTAGGGATGACTGGGATGACAAGGGATAACTAGAATGACTAGGGATGACTGGGATGACTAGGGATGACTGGTGAAAACTAGGGATAACTGGGATGACTAGGGATGACTAGGGATGACTAGGATGACTGGGATGACTAGGGATGACTGGGATGACAAGGAATGAGTACCGATGACTGGGATGACAACGGAAGACTAGGGAGGACTAGGCATAACTGGGATTACTAGCAATGACTCGGATGACTGCGATGACTAGTGATGACTCAGATGACTAGGGATGACTGAGAAAACTAAGGATGACTAGGGATGACTAGGGATGACTGGGATGACTAGTGATGACTAGGATGACTAGGGATGACTAGGGATGGCTGGAATGACTAAGAATGACTAGAGATGACTAGGATGACTAAGGATGACAAGGATGACTAGGGATGACTAGGGTGACTGGGATGAATAGGGATGTCTGGGATTAATAGGATGACTAGGAATGACTACGGATGACTAAGATGACTAGGGATGATTGGGATGACTAAGGATAACTGGGATGACTAGCGATTTCTAGGGATGACTAGGGATGTTTAAGGACGACTAGGGATGACTACGGGTGACTGGGATGACTAGGGACAACTAGGAATGACTGGGATGACTAGTGATGACTGGGATAAATTGGATGATTAGGGATGACCAGAATGAGTAGGGATGACTTGAGATGACTAGGATGACTGGGATGACTAGGGATGATGAGGGATCACTAGGAGGACAGTGAGGACTAGGGATCACTAGGGATAACTAGGGATGACTAGGATGACCAGGATGACTAGGGAGGACTAGGAATATCTGGGATGACTAGGCATGACTAGGATGACTGGGATGATTAGGGATTACTGGGATTAGTGGGATGACTAGGAATGACTACGGATGACTGGGATGACTAGGGATGACCAGGGGGGACTAGGGATGAGTGGAATGAGTAGCGATGGCTAGGATGACTGGGATGACACTGGATAACTAGGGATGACTAGGATGACTCGAAATGACTGGGAGGACTAGAAATGACTGAGATGACTAGGAATGACTGGCATAACTAGGGATGAGTGAGATGAATAGGGATGACTAGGGATGACTGGGATGACTAGGGATTTCGAGGGATGACTAGGGATGCTCAAAGATGACTAGCGATGACTAGGATGACTAGGATGACAAGGGATGACTAGGGGTGACTGGGATGACTAGGGACGACTAGGGATGACTAGGATGAGTCAGGATGACTAGAGATGACTAGGGATGATTGGGATGACTAGCGATGACTAGGATGATTGGGATGACTCGGGGTAACTAGGGATTACTACGATGACTAGGGATGACTGGTATGACTAGAAATGACTGAGATGACTGGGATGAATAGAAATGACTGAGATGACTAAGATGACTGAGAAGACTACGGATGACTTGGGATGACTAGGGTGACTAGGATAACTAGGGATAACTAGGGATGACTAGATTGACTGGGATGACGAGGGATGACTGGGATTACTGGAATGACTAGGAATGACTAAGGATGACTGGGATGACTAAGGATGACTAAGGTTGACTAAGGATGACTAGGGACGAGTAGGGATGACTGGGATGACTAGGGATTTGATTTGATGACTCGGGATGTTTAAGGATGACTAGGAATGTCTAAGATGACTAGGCATGACTAGAGGTGACTGGGATGATTAGGGATGGGTAGAGATGACTGGGATGACCAGTGATGACTAGGGATGACTAGAGATCACTAGGATGACAGTGAGTACTAGGGATAATTAAGCAAAAGTAGGGATGACTGGGATGACAAGGGATAACCAGAATGACTAGGGATGACTGGGTTGACTAGGGATGACTGGTGAAAACTAGGAATAACTGGGATGACTAGGGATGACTAGGATGACTGGGATGACTAGGGATGACTGGGATGACTAGGAATGAGTACCGATGACTGGGATGACAACGGAAGACTAGGGAGGACTAGGCATAACTGGGATTACTAGCAATGACTCGGATGACTGCGATGACTAGTGATGACTTAGATGACTAGGGATGACTGAGAAAACTAAGGATGACTAGGGATGACTAGTGATGACTAGGATGACTAGGGATGACTAGCGATGGCTGGAATGACTAAGAATGACTAGAGATGACTAGGATGACTAAGGATGACAAGGATGACTAGGGATGACTAGGGTGACTGGGATGAATAGGGATGTCTGGGATTAATGGGATGACTAGGAATGACTACGGATGACTAAGATGACTAGGGATGATTGGGATGACTAAGGATAACTGGGATGACTAGCGATGACTAGGATGATTGGGATGACTCGGGGTAACTAGGGATGACTACGATGACAAGGGATGACTGGTATGACTGGGATGACTAGAAATGACTGAGATGACTGGGATCACTACGGACGACTCAGAAGACTAACGTTGACTAGGGATGACAAGAGATGACTAAGGGTGACTAGGATCACTAGGGATGACTAGGGATGACTGGGATGACTAGGGATGACTAGAGATCACTGCAATGACTAAGAATGATTAGAGATGACTAAGGATGACAAGGGATGACTAGGATGACTGGGAGGACCAGGGATGACTAGGATGACTGCGAGGACTAGGGATTACAATGGATGACTAGGATGACTACGGATGACTGGAATTACTACAAATGATTAGGGAGGCCTAGGGATGACTCGGATGACTGGGATGATTCGGGATGACTAGGGATGATTCGGGATGACTAGGGATGACTAGGATGACTAGGAATGACTGGGATGACAGGGGATGATTGGGATGACTACGATCACTACGATGACTGGAATGACTAGCGATGACAAGGGATGACTGGGATTACTGGGATGACAAGGAATGACTAGGGATGAGTGGGATGACTAGGAATGACTGGGATGACTAAGGACGACTAGGGATGACTAGCGATTTCTACAGATTACTAGGGATGTTTAAGGATGACTAGGGATGACAAAGATGACTAGGGATGACTGGCATGACTAGGGATGACTAGAGATGACTAGGATGAGTAGGATGACTGGGACGAGTAGGATGACTGGGATGAGTGAGGATGACTAGAGATCACTAGGATGACAGTGATGACTAGAGATCACTAGGATGACAGTGATGACTAGGGATGACTAGGATGACAAGGCATGACCAGGATGACTAGGGACGACTGGGATTACAGGGATTACTACGAATGACTACAGATGACTGGGATGACTAGGGATGACTGGGATGACTAGGGATGGCCAGAGACTACTAGAGATAAGTGGGATGACTAGCGATGGCTAGGATGACTGGAATGACACTGGATAACTAGCAGTGACTAAGATGACTAGGGATGACTGGGTTGACTAGAAATGACTGAGATGACTAGGGATGACTGGGATGAATACGGATGACTGAGATTACTAGGATGACTAGGGATGACTGGGATGACTAAGGGTGACTGGGATGACTAGGGACGACTAGGGATGACTAGGGATGACTAGGATGAATCGGGATGACTAGAGATGACTAGGGATGACTGGCATGACTAGGGATGACTAGGAAGGACTAGGGATAACTGGGATGACTAGGGATAACCAGAGATGACTAGGATGACAAGGATGACAAGGGATGACTGGGTGACTAGTGATGATTAGGAAGGACTAGGAATAACTGGGATGACTGGGATGACTAGGGATGACTAGGAAGGACTAGGAATAACTGGGATGACTAGGATGACTGGAATGACTAGGGATGACTGGGATGACTAGCGTTCTCTAGGTATGACTAGGGATTACGGGGACGACTGGGATCACTAGGGATGATTGGGATGACAAGGAATGTCTGGGATAGCTTGCGATGACTAGGGTTGACTAGGGATTACCGGGGTGAGTAGAGATGACTGGGATGACTAGGGATGCCTAGGGATGACCGGGATGACTGGAATAACTAGGGATGACTAGGATGACTGGGGATGATGTGAGATGACTAGGGATGACAGGGATGAGTAGAAATGACAAGGGATTACTGGGATGACTTGGGATTACTGGGATGACTAAAGAAGAGTACCGATGACTAGGATGTCTAGGGTTGACTAAGGTGACTAAGGATGACTAGGGATGACTGGGATGACTAGTGATGACTGGAATAACTAAGCATGACTGGGATGACTAGGGATGACTGGGATGACTGGGGATGATTAGGGATGACCTGGGATGACTAGGGATGACTAGGGATGACTAGGGATGACTAGGGATGCCTGGGATGGCTAGGGATGACTAGCATGATGGTGATGACTACGGATTACTAGTGATGACTAGGGATGACCAGGATGACAAGGGATGACTGGGATGACTAGCAATGGTTAGGGATGACTAGAATGACTGGGATGACTAGGGATGACTAGGGATGACTAGGATGACTAGGATGATTGGGATGACTATTGATGAGTAGGGATGACTAGGATGACTAGGATGACTTGGGAAGACTATGGATGACTGGGATGACAAGGGATGACTAGGAAGAGTGGGATGACTAGGGATGACTAGGGTTTATTACGGATGTTTAAGGATGAGTAAGGATGACTAAGATGACTAGGGATGACTACGTAGACTAGGGGTGACTGGGATGACTAGGGATGACTAGCATGACTAGGGTGAGTAGTATGACTAGGGATGACTAGGATGACTGGGATGACTGGGATGACTAGTGATGACTGGGATGACTAGGGATGACTGGAATGACAAGGGATGAGTAGGGATGGCTAAAATGACTAAGGATGACTAGGGATGACTAGGAATGACTAGGATGACTAGGGATGACTAGGAATGTCTAGGGTGACTGTGATGACTAGGGATGACTAGGGATGACTGGAATGACTAGGGATGACTAGGATGACTGGCATGACGAGGGGTGACTAGGAATGACTAGGATGACCAGAGATGACTGGAATGACTAGAGATGACTAGCGATGACTAGGGGTGACTAGGAATGACTGGGATGACTTGTGTTGACTGGGATGACTAGAGATGACTAGGGATGACTAGGGGTGACTAGGAATGACTGGGATGACTTGGGATGACTAGTGATGACTGGGATGACAAGCGATGACTAGGGATGACTAGGGATGACTAGGGTGATTAGGGATGTTTAAGGATGACTAGGGATGACTAGGGATGACTGGAATGACAAGGCATGACTAGGGATGGCTAAAATGACTAAGGATGACTAGGGATGACTAGGAATGACCAGGATGACTAGGGATGTCTAGGGTGACTGTGATGACTAGGGTTGACTATAATGACTAGGGATGACTAGGATGACTAGGATGAATGGGATAACTAGGAATGACTAGGATGACCAAAGATGACTGGAATGACTGGGGATGACTGCGATGACTGGGATAACTAGGGATGACTGTGATGACTGGGGATGACTGTGATGACTAGGGATGACTGGGATGACTGGGATGACTAGGGATGACTAGGATGACTAGAGATGACTGGAATGCCTAGGGATGACTAGGATGACTGGAATAACTAGGGATGACTTGGATGGCAAGGGATGACTAGGGATGACTGGAATTTCTAAGCATGACTTTGGTGACTAGGAATGATTAGGGATGACCTGGGATTGACTAGGGATGACTAGGGATGACTAGGGATGAGTAGGGATGACTAGGGATGACTGGGACGGCTAGGGATGACTAGGATGACGGTGATGACTAGGGATTACTAGTGATAACTAGGAATGACAAGGGATGACCAGGATGACAAGGGATGACTGGGATCACTAGCGATGATTAGGGATGACTAGAATGACTGGGATGACTAGGGATGAGTAGGGATGACTGGGATAACTAGGATGACTAGTGATGAGTAGGGATGACTAGGGATGACTGGGGTTACAGGGATGACTATGGATGACTGGGATGACAAGGGTTGACTAGGGATGACTAGGAAGAGTGGGATGACTAGGGATGACTAGGATTGATTAACGAAGTTTAAGGATGACTAGGGATGACTGGAATGACAAGGGATGACTAGGGATGGCTGAAATGACTAAGGATGACTAGGGATGACTAGGAATGACTAGGGATGACTAGGGATGTCTAGGCTGACTGTGATGACTAGGGTTTACTGGAATGACTACGGATGACTAGGATGACTAGGATGACTGAGATGACAAGGGATGACTAGGAATGACTAGGATGACCAGAGATGACTGGAATGACTGGGGATGACTGGGATAACTAGGGATGACTGGGATGACTAGGGATGACTGGGATGACTAGGGATGACTAGGATGACTGGAGATGACTGGAATGACTAGGATGACTGGGATAACTAGAGATGACTTGGATGGCAAGGGATGACTAGGGATGACTGGAATAACTAAGGATGACTGGGATGACTAGGGATGAGTGGGATGACTAGGGATGATTAGGGATGACCTGGGATGACTAGGGATTACTAGGGATGACTAGGGATGACTGGGATGACTGGAATGGCTAGGGATGACTAGGATGACGGTAATGACTAGGGATTACTAGTGATAAGTAGGGATGACAAGCGATGACCAGGATTGCAAGGGATGACTCGGATGACTGGCCATGATTAGGGATGACTAGAATGACTGGGATGACTGGAATGGCTAGGGATGACTAGGATGACGGTGATGACTAGGGATTACTAGTGATGACTAGGGATGACAAGGGATGACCAGGATGGCAAGGGATGACTCGGATGACTGGCGATGATTAGGGATGACTAGAATGACTGGGATGACTAGGGATGACTAGGGATCACTGGGATGACTAGGGAGGACTAGGGATAACTAGGATGGCTAGTAATGACTAGGATGGCTAGGATGACTAGTGGTGAGTAGGGATGACTAAGGATGACTGGGGTTACTGGGATGACTAGGGGTGACTACGGATGACTGGGATGACTTGGGATGACCGAGATGACAAGGGATGACTAGGGATGACTAGGAAAAGCGGGATGACTAGCGATGACTAGGGTTGATTAGGGATGTTTAAGGATGACTATGGATGACTAGGGATGACTAAGATGAGTAGGGATGACTAGGAAGACTAGGGGTGACTGGGATGACTAGGGATGACTAGGATGACTAGGGGTGACTAGTGATGACTGGGATGACTAGGAAGAGTGGGATGACTAGGGATGACTAGGGTTGATTAGGGATGTTTAAGGATGACTGGGGATGACTGGAATGACAAGGGATGACTAGAGATGGCTAAAATGACTAAGGATGACTAGGGATGACTAGGAATGACTAGGATGACTAGGGATGACTAGGGATGTCTAGGGTGACTGTGATGACTAGCGTTGACTGGAATGACTAGGGATGACTAGGATGACTGGGATGACAAGGGATGACTAGGAATGACTAGGATGACCAGAGATGACTGGAAGGACCGGGGATGACTGGGATAACTAGGGATGACTAGGATGACTAGGGGTGACTGGGATGACTAGGATGACTAGAGATGACTGGAATGACTAGGGATGACTAGGATGACTGGGGATAACCAGGGATGACTTGGATGGCAAGGGATGACAAGCGATGACTGGAATAACTATGGATGACTGGGATGACTAGGGATGACTGGGACGACTAGGGATGATTAGGGATGACCTGGGATGACTAGGGATGACTAGGGATGACTGGGATGACTGGGATGGCTAGGGATGACTAGGATGACGGTGATGACTAGGGATTACTAGTGATGACTAGGGATGACAAGGGATGACCAGGATGACAAGGGATGACTGGGATGACCAGCGATGATTAGGGATGACTAGAGTGACTGGGATGACTAGGGAGGACTAGGGATGACTAGGGATTACTGGGATGATTAGGGATGACTAGGGAGGATTAGGGATAACTGGGATGACTAGGCATGACTAGGATGACTAGGATGACTAGTGATGAGTAGGGATGACTGGGGTTACTGGGATGACTAGGGGTGACTAGGGATGACTGGGATGACTTGAGATTACTGGGATGACTAGGGATGACTAGGGAGGATTAGGGATAACTGGGATGACTAGGCATGACTAGGATGACTAGGATGACTAGTGATGAGTAGGGATGACTGGGGTTACTGGGATGACTAGGGGTGACTAGGGATGACTGGGATGACTTGGGATGACTATGGATGACTGGGATGACTAGGGTTGATTAGGGATGTTTAAGGATGACTAGGGATGACTACGGGTGAGTGGGATGACTAGGGACAACTAGGAATGACTGGGATGACTAGTGATGACTAAGATAACTCGGATGACTAGGGATAACTAGGGATGACTAGAATGACTAGGGATGACTTGAGATCACTAGGATGACTAGGGATAACTAGGATGACAGTGAGGACTAGGGATCACTAGGGATAACTAGGGATGAGTAGGATGACAAGGGATGACCAGGATGACTGGGATGACTAGGGATGACTTGGGAGGACTAGGAATATCCGGGATGACTAGGGATGACTAAGATGACTTGGATGATTAGGGATGACTGGGATTACTGGGATTACTAGGAATGACTACGGTTAACTGGGATGACTAGGGATGACTGGGATGACTAGGGATGGCTAGGGACGACTAGGGGTAAGTGGGATGACTAGTGATGGCTAGGATGACTGGGATGACACTGGATAACTAGCGATGACTAGGATGACTCGAAATGACTGGGAGGACTAGAAATAACTGAGATGACTAGGAATGACTGGCATGACTAGGGATGAGTGAGATGAATAGGGATGACTAGGGATGACTGGGATGACTAGGGATTTCTAGGGATGACTAGGGATGCTCAAAGATGACTAGGGATGACTAGGATGACTAGGATGACAAGGGATGACTAGGGGTGACTGGGATGACTAGGGACGACTAGGGATGACTAGGATGAGTCAGGATGACTAGAGATGACTAGGGATGATTGGGATGACTAAGGATAACTGGGATGACTAGCGATGACTAGGATGATTGGGATGACTCGGGGTAACTAGGGATGACTACGATGACTAGGGATGACTGGTATGACTAGAAATGACTGAGATGACTGGGATGAATAGAAATGACTGAGATGACTAAGATGACTGAGAAGACTACGGATGACTTGGGATGACTAGGGTGACTAGGATAACTAGGGATGACTAGGGATGACTAGGATGACCAGAGATGACTGGAATGACTGGGGATGACTGGGATAACTAGGGATGACTGGGATGACTAGGGATGACTGGGATGACTAGGGATGACTAGGATGACTGGAGATGACTGGAATGACTAGGAATGACTAGGATGACTGGGATAACTAGGGATGACTTGGATGGCAAGGGATGACTAGGGATGACTGGAATAACTAAGGATGACTGGAATAACTAAGGATGACTGGGATGACTAGGGATGAGTGGGATGACTAGGGATGATTAGGGATGACCTGGGATGACTAGGGATTACTAGGGATGACTAGGGATGACTGGGATGACTGGAATGGCTAGGGATGACTAGGATGACGGTGATGACTAGGGATTACTAGGGATGACTAGGGATGACAAGGGATGACCAGGATGGCAAGGGATGACTCGGATGACTGGCCATGATTAGGGATGACTAGAATGACTGGGATGACTGGGATGACTGGAATGGCTAGGGATGACTAGGATGACGGTGATGACTAGGGATTACTAGTGATGACTAGGGATGACAAGGGATGACCAGGATGGCAAGGGATGACTCGGATGACTGGCGATGATTAGGGATGACTAGAATGACTGGGATGACTAGGGATGACTAGGGATCACTGGGATGACTAGGGATGACTAGGGAGGACTAGGGATAACTGGGATGGCTAGTAATGACTAGGATGGCTAGGATGACTAGTGGTGAGTAGGGATGACTAAGGATGACTGGGGTTACTGGGATGACTAGGGGTGACTACGGATGACTGGGATGACTTGGGATGACTGGGATGACAAGGGATGACTAGGGATGACTAGGAAAAGTGGGATGACTAGGGATGACTAGGGTTGATTAGGGATGTTTAAGGATGACTATGGATGACTAGGGATGACTAAGATGACTAGGGATGACTAGGAAGACTAGGGGTGACTGGGATGACTAGGGATGACTAGGATGACTAGGGGTGACTAGTGATGACTGGGATGACTAGGAAGAGTGGGTTGACTAGGGATGACTAGGGTTGATTAGGGATGTTTAAGGATGACTAGGGATGACTGGAATGACAAGGGATGGCTAAAATGACTAAGGATGACTAGGAATGACTAGGATGACTAGGGATGACTAGGGATGTCTAGGGTGACTGTGATGACTAGCGTTGACTGGAATGACTAGGGATGACTGGGATGACTGGGATGACAATGGATGACTAGGAATGACTAGGATGACCAGAGATGACTGGAAGGACTGGGGATGACTGGGATAACTAGGGATGACTGGGATGACTAGGGGTGACTGGGATGACTAGGATGACTAGAGATGACTGGAATGACTAGGGATGACTAGGATGACTGGGGATAACTAGGGATGACTTGGATGGCAAGGGATGACAAGGGATGACTGGAATAACTATGGATGACTGGGATGACTAGGGATGACTGGGACGACTAGGGATGATTAGGGATGACCTGGGATGACTAGGGATGACTAGGGATGACTGGGATGACTGGGATGGCTAGGGATGACTAGGATGACGGTGGTGACTAGGGATTACTAGGGATGACTAGGGATGACAAGGGATGACTAGGATGACAAGGGATGACTGGGATGAGTAGCGATGATTAGGGATGACTAGAGTGACTGGGATGACTAGGGAGGACTAGGGATGACTAGGGATTACTGGGATGACTAGGGATGACTAGGGAGGATTAGGGATAACTGGGATGACTAGGCATGACTAGGATGACTAGGATGACTAGTGATGAGTAGGGATGACTGGGGTTACTGGGATGACTAGGGGTGACTAGGGATGACTGGGATGACTTGGGATTACTGGGATGACTAGGGATGACTAGGGAGGATTAGGGATAACTGGGATGACTAGGCATGACTAGGATGACTAGGATGACTAGTGATGAGTAGGGATGACTGGGGTTACTGGGATGACTAGGGGTGACTAGGGATGACTGGGATGACTTGGGATGACTATGGATGACTGGGATGACTAGGGTTGATTAGGGATGTTTAAGGATGACTAGGGATGACTAAGATGAGTAGGGATGACTAGGAAGACGAGGGGTGACTGGGATGACTAGGGATGACTAGGATGACTAGGGGTGAATAGGATGTCTAGGGATGACTAGGATGACTGGGATGACTAGTGATGACTGGGATGACTAGGGATGACTAGGGATGACTGGAATGACAAGGGATGACTAGGGATGACTAGGGATGACTAGGAATGACTAGGATGACTAGGGGTGACTAGGGATGTCTAGGATGACTGTGACGACTAGGGATGACTTGGATGACAGGGGATGACCAGGATGACTAGAGATGACTGGGGTGACTAGGGATGACTAGGGATGACTAGGGTGACTGGGATGACTGGGATGCCCAGGGATGACTAGGGATGACTGGAATGACTAGGGGAGGGCTGAAAATAACATCTGGTCAATGGAGAGTGTCCAGCCTGATTGTGGACTTTACCGGCCAAACTCTCGTCTTTCCGGTCATTTTGGCTGGTCATTTTTGGAAAGGAAAATTTAATTATAGTTTCCATACAGTTGCCCTTAATGAGTTGTGCACGCTGTTATGATTTCTTTTTTCTTTGGCATTTTTGGCTGCTCTTCACTAAAAATTTTTAAGAAAATGAACACCGCGATAAATTTCATGTCATCATGTCGTCATGAAATGTAAAAAACCGAAACAACACTAAACTGAGTCATGGAGTAACGCAACGATGCAGGTCATTCTCCTTTGCTGTAACCAGTAATGTGTCTCCTTTGGAAAAACATACACTAACGATAATTCGTTGTCCGTTAGAAAACTAAAGGATAGCTAACAGTTTTGGTTCATCTAATGTTTCACATCGACTTGAGGTGATTGTCAAAATCACCTTTGATGGAATTCAGGGAAATTGATCGCAATCGTCAACAGGTCATCCTGTTTTTCTCTGGGACTAAATTTTAGCGGATCAATTAATTATTATAACTTCTTTATGTCGAACATGAATCTCCTTTTTGGACTTGATTCCAGAATAGTCTGATAAAAATTTAACCTGATCAAAATGAACGTTGTCTATCTCGGCACTTAAAATGCAAGTTTCTGTTGACATTAATGAATCCTTCGCGATAAAGTGTTGCGCGATGACCCAAATGAAAGCTCTGTTGTACATTTATCGACTTCGGATGATAAACATGCTGTTTGTGGAACAGATTTGTCGCCAAATTAACTTCTTTTCGAAAATATTTCCCGACGTTTCTTATTTGTGGAGGAGACTTTCGATCACATGCCAGGCAGCGAACACTGATATGAAGATATGGGACGAACCTTGGAGACTTCAGATACTGCTGCACAATGATATTCAAGGTAGAACGGACATGAAAACGGGCGAAAACTGCGGAAAGGAACTAAACAACATCTGCATGAATGTTTCATCGACTTGCTGCCCAAAACCTGAACGTCAATGTAGTACAACAATCAATTGCCAGCATAATTCGCTATTCCAAAGGCAAAAAACAAATATTTT